CTATTAAACTGAATTTAAGTGATTCAGTTAAATGGATCATTTAAATTCATTTAACTGATTCCAGATCAAGGACTTTAAAAATGCTCTTCTCTGGCTCTTCTGCTTCTGCAGCCACTCAGCCTGTAGTCACCACCCTGTTGACTGGGCAAGGCCCCACCCACAGCACTGTCTGATTGGCTACATGTGACAAGTGTTAGCCTATCAACACGGAAGGATAAATATTGAAAATGTCTTGTTTAAATGAACACAGAGAAGACATAAAATAGGCAATCAAGTTTGTATTATTCTACATTTTGACATCAAAGATTACATTTCTACTGAAACTGTATATCACTTCCAAATACCGGTTGAGGTTCATCTTGATCATTGATAATTAGCATCAGTATCAGCCCTAAAATTATCAGTCGACCCCTAATAACTAGGGTCGAATATATATGAAGTCTGCTTCACCTCCTGCACCCACAACAAGTACATGCTACATAAACATAAAGACATCAGTTATTTAATAACGTAATACTGAGATTGCTCTTATTCTGCTGCTTAGGAAATGTTTTTAATTTGAGAACTTCAAGGGAATTTTATTGAAAACATTTTTTTGAAAACATTTGAATGCAGAACTTTTAAGAGTATTTTTTACATTTGAGTATTTTCACTTCTTTTAGGGCTACACTGAATACGATGTTTACACGGTTTGATGAACGTGACAAGTGGACTGACCTCTGTTTAAACAAGAGACTGTGGTGGTTATCCGCCCCCAAAACAATCCTATGTCCCACTATGGAGTGCAGCACACTGGAAGCCTCTTTGACGACAAGATTCATTCAAAATATCTCAAATCACATTCAGACCTGTGAGGATGAATCATGCATTTGTGTGGACCATCTGATGGCGAAATGAACGACTCTGTGATGAGACGTGAGTGCGGACAGGTCCTAGTTAAACCTCAACAACACCTCGGACGCGCTGCACACATGGCTGCACGTGACACACACGACCTGAGTCCGTAACTTGACGGGACACGGCACGCGCCTACTCTGTGGCTGCGCGCTCATGTGTCCCGATCCTCACTGGAAGAGACACGTATCCGTGGGCACGGAGGCTCTCTTATCAGTTATTGCCGTAAAGATAACGGAGGATATCAACAGCACGTGCCGCCATGAAATAACGGTTTGACAACAGCGGAGTGTTCCCAAACTCAGATCGTTCTTTTTCTCATTGCTAATATACATCATGTCCATGCGCCAACTGGTCTAGTTCCTTAACAGCAACAAAACAAAGTAGTTGCCATGTGATGCTAAATAGCAGCATGCTACGATTTTCCGTAAAATATTTAAATTAATTGGTAATCACAGGTCTTCCTCAATAATGACCCGACAAATGCGTTAAAACGTAATTGGGTCAATCACAGCAGCGGGACTATGTGCACCTCTGTTTACTTGGGCATCGCTGGACGCGCACATCCCGAGCACGGATCACACCGTCCTGCATCAGTGCGGCTGTCCGCACTTGAGCATCACCCGCGCGCTGCTAGTTAGCTGTCCCGCCTCCACAGCACTGCGGTACTCGCGCCGTGAATTTCAAAGAAACTGGACAAAAAAAACAACCGACTCTGTACATACAAAATGTGATTTTTAAACTGCGTTCCCATTCTGCCCCGAGTAAAGTTTCACACGAGTGCCGCAGGACACCTGACACCGAGTACCTACCGTCTATCGCCATGATGCTCCGTCCCGGACTCTACCAACTGTGTGGGGGGGTGAGCTGGAGGAGGGAGGTCATTGATGTGCCAGTGAGTGTGTAGACGTTGTGTAAGCAGGTGATATTTCAATAACAGGACCACTATGTCAGCCATTTATAATAGAGAAACCGATATATATATATATATATATATATATATATATGCTGCCCTAGAAGTGCGGGTACTATTGCTCTGTATAAGTTGACATTATACTCGCTTTTCCCATTGAGCTTTCATAGAAACATGGGTTTCCTTTGATTAGCCCCAGTGTCAACTCTGATGTACTTGTATCTATTTTATATATGTATAAATATATATAACTAAATAAAATATTACATTTTATTTAGTTTTATATATGTATAAATATATATAACTAAATAAAATGTAATGAAAAAGGACAGAAATAATGGTCTACATAGGTGCACAGTGGGTATTGTTAATGTATGGTGGATACTTAAGCAATATTCTTCATGACACATATTTGTTTTGCAGTACAGTAATTCTTTCGTTCCATTTCATACCAAAAATGCAACCAATTTCATAGAGCCAAGGACAATACAAAGACATACTGTATTTAGGGTTAACCCTAGTTTTACTCAGGTACTGTACCTAAGTACAATTTTAGGTATTATTTGTATTCCAGTACATTCCTCCATCAAACAGCTTAAAAACAAATAACACATAATAAAATGTGATGCTTTAAAAGAAAAAAAAAGAAAGAAAAAAGGTAATGCACATAAAGCTGAAACAATTTTGATAACTCTGTTCATTTCTTTTTTCCATTCACAGATCCACTTAATTTCAGAATTCCAGGTGCTCTAATGTACAGATTTACTGCTTCTGTCTAAATTATGTTCATATTTGGGTTGTTTTTGGCTTCACAAAGCAAGTATTGTAAAGGTGTTCTTTGCAATAATGACAACATTTCTCCTTGTTTTCTGATTTTTGTTGTTTTCATGTGATATCAAGTCACAAGATTATTACAGTATATAGTTATTATCATATTTAATAGTTGCAGAAACACAGAAATGACAAACGGTTTCAAATCTTTCATACACTACATTGCCAAATGTGTACGGACATGAAAACGCTACACCCCTGTATTGATGAATTCATTTCACAGCAGCCTCCACCTTTGGCTGCAGAGATGTACTTCCATTCAGCTACATCACAAGAGCATCACAGCCAAAGAACATCTGACATATGGAGGTGAGTCTTGTTCCCCTACACCAAATTTGGAAGGCTATTTCTTTATGTACATGGCTTTCTGCACTGGAATATTGTTGTTATAAACAGTAGTAGCTTTCCCCAAATAGCTGCACAAAAGTTGCAGCCAAGCTTATCTCAAATATAAATTATGCTGTAGCAATAACATTTCTTTAAGCTGTAACCAAAGGGCCAAAATTAATTTAAAAAAACAAGTCTAAACAAAATGTACAAAAAATATACTATATATTAAGAAACGTGAGTACACTCCTGTGCAATATCACTCACTGCATTAACAAACTTAAATTTGAACACCAGCACTTTCTAACTTTTTAACCTATGGGCCGTGTCTGTCTGCATGACTGCATCATGACTGTGCATTGAAAAGATCAGAGCTGCAGTGGTCGTCCTCCTAAAATGATGCCACAGATAGTGTGCTGCTACAGTGTGCTAGCTCTGGAAAATGAAAAGTCAAGCACATCAGACTTGACACTGGGGTTATCAAGTTTCTATGAAAGCTCAATGGGAAAAGCAAGTATGATGTCAACTTATACAGAGCAATAGTATGTGCAGTGTCTGCACTGTCAGGATCTGCACCAATAGGACCGCACTTCTAGGGCAGCATGTTTTTTCTAGACAACACCACCTACCACAATGGATGATCACTAAAGTGCACAACTTACCATCTGAAAGGAAGATTTCACTCAAAGTAAACTTATAATTTAAAAAGTTTATCCAAGGACTATTCCACAGAAAGTAATACTTCATGTCCAAGTACCTATAATTGTAAAGGATTATTCCACCCAAATAGTGTTTTTTCACTAACAAGTTATGCTTTGAAAGGTTTATTCCACCCAAAATACTACTTATGACGGTAATAATGATAAGTTGGCTTCTAAGACTTGCATTTGGACAAATTGTGTAATTAACACACTTGTGTCATTATTAAGTAAAATAATAAAATAATAATAGCTGTGGCCTCTGTGGTCTCTAGATACCAACCAGGACAGGTTGGAAGGTTGGAAAGACACACAAGGACAACTTGCGTGGCATATATATATATTCTTTCATATAATATTCTTTTATTTAATACAGTAATAAGTAATAAAAGGTCAGTGGACCCATTTTGCCTACCAGGTCCTGAGGAATGGTTGTATTAAATGCTGAACTGAAGTCCAAGAGCAGCATTTGAACCTGACTGTTCTCCACCTCCAGATGTGCCAGGCTCAAATAGAGTCTGGGCTGAGTGTCTGCTCACCATGTTTACGAATAGCATTCCTCACAGGTGTGCTATTGAGTGTCTAAAACTGTCCAAACTATTTATTGAGTTTATTAAAAAAAAAAAAAAAAAAAAAAAGGTGCTATCCTCACAGGCAGGTGGAGAAGTCCTGTTTGGATTACCTGCCTGTTCGCCTGGTATTCATTGGACCATGAAATCCACTCTGGATTTTCTGACCATTCGCTGTCCTGGTGGCTTGATTCAGCTTGGCTCTTGCTGATCTGAGGGCCAACATGTCATCAGATTTGAAGGCATTTGTGCTCTCAGCATTGCACATACTTCAGTGTCATCCAGAGTTTCTGGTTGGCTCAAGTCCTGATGTTCTTGGTGACACAGACGTCCTCCATGCACTTGTGTATGACTGAGAGACAGACAGGTTGATGAGTTGGTGGCAGCTTCTTTGAACATGACCCAGTTAGTCTACTCAAAGCGATCGAGTGATGCTGACATGGCTCCTTGTGCTCAGATCTTAATTTGTCTCAGTGTAGGTGTTCCTCTGGTGAGCAGGGGTCTGTAGCATCACAGAGGGGTGGTCTGAGGGGCCGAGGCGGGGGCGAGGGACAGCCTTGAATTGATTCTGACTTCAGTATGGGCCAGGTCCAGTGTACTTACAAGGTATGCAATTGTTGTCAGGTTATACAGTTCAGAATCATCTGATCCTGCACAGGTGGACTCATGTCAGCGGTGACCTCGGTGGACCGGAGTGTCCACAGAGTCTCTGCTGCCAGAGATGCCCTCCACTGCCTACGTCACCGCTGGCGGACACGCCCACCAGACTGTGTTGCTACATTTCCGCAAAAGTTTCTAGTTGCAGCAGACTTCCCTTCCTCGGGTTTTGTTCGGGTTGTTGGACTCACCAAAGTTTAGAAAAATGAGTGAAATGAAGCCAAGCGACGTGCCTGCAGCTGAAGACAGCAGCGAGGAAAAAGACTGGGCTGCGGCCAAAGCGTTTTTTGACAACCTCAAATCAAACAAACCGAGACCTGTAAGTATTTACTAAGTTTTTCCTCCAAGCTGTGTGTTGGCTGCACATACTCTGTCTTTTGGATCATGTTGGCATAACAAAGTGTATTACTGGATGCTTGGCTGATATTTTCTGTGCCTCCGCGTCCACCTTCAGCCCAAACCCCGGTTCGCTGTCACCATCGCCGTCTCCTCTCGCACCCTCTTCAACATGGTGGCAGAGAGGAAGATCTACGAGGAGGAAGGCCTGGAGAAGTACGTAGCTTTTCAAGTGGAACATGAAAACGAGCCTCTGAAGCCAGGACCTGCCTTCCCCTTCGTCAAGGTAGGCCTGAGCCCCGGGAGTGGCCACCTTGTGCCTGTTGCTGCGGCGCTGTCAGGGTGCGGTTCCTGCCATGCCTTAATCCAGCTTTCAGGAAACACTTCTCTAACAAACACGAATACATGAAAACATGCAGTGCTCTGAAGGTGTATGTCTGCATGTGGAATCTATTATCTCTCTGTCCTGCTACACCTGAGACACCCAGTGTGATGGAAAACAGGTATTTGGCTTTTGGCACAGCAGGGACCATCACAACAGAGCTGCTGTGTTCATTAGAGACACAACTGAACTGATTTTTTTTTGTCAGGCAGATTGTTTATTTTTATGTCATCACTGAGCCATGACAAAACCTTTGCACTGACAGAACCAGAACTACAAGAACCTCCTCATAAAAAAGTGTCTTTAGATTTCTCTGCCATTAAAGCGTGGACGATATAATACAAAATACACAACACTGTGCGAAAAGCAAGGACCTATTGTTTAAGTTCTTCATCGCTTGAAACATGCTGCACTCCTTCTTAGAGCGGTGTCATACAAGCTGTGAATCAACAAAGAGAAAACAGCATTATACTGACAATGGAACCTGTTTCTGCAACCTCCCACGAAGGCTGATTCATGTTCAGAGTTGATGTTAGGATAGACCTGGTACTCATCAGACCAGTCTTGGATATGCTTAGTGTTGTTCTATTGTCACCTTAGAATAAAGGAATATCATGGGAAGTGGGATTGCACCCTGTTAGTATAAAATGGTTTTGTATCACTTGGGGCTATACAACTATTCACGCAGTTATTTTTTAATAGTTTATAATAAGTGTTGCAGACCCACCACAGCTGGCTGCTGCCATCCTTTGAGTATAGACCTGGCTGCATGGAGGGAATTCATCATTTTATGTTTTCCAAAACTGAATCATTGTGTCTTTGGTGCGAAAAGAAGCAATTTCTGAATGTCAAGTGAGCCATATTATCAGCAATTAAGCCCACAAGGAAAGTATCAGGTTCAGTTCATGTGTTGTTTCTTCTGTGTTTTGGGATTTAGATAATATTAAATTAGTTCTTAATTGCACAAATGTATTTGTATTTGTATTAGCAAAGTTACCAGCATAGAAGTTGCAATCTCTTAAAATTATAGATATACACTCAGTTGCTTTTTAAATCTGAAAGGAGTGTTGTACTATTACACTCTTTTAATATTATTCTACTATTTAGTCCGCCAATGATGATATAAATATGGCCGTAGACAAAATATCAGAAACATTTCTCAATGTACCACAACTCAGCTGCACCACAAAAAAACTTCATTACCTATTTAAAACAAACAAAACTATAAAAACAAACACACACACACACACAAAATCCTGACCATAAAAACCCTCATGAAGGGAGGACCTGCTGCATGGTGGTTGTATTAGGCTTGATTAATGTTAGGAAGATATATCTAACAAAGTCAGCTGAGTGTTTTTTTTTTTTTTACATCCATGATGCCATTATTACATTGAAATAAATCTGTGATTGCCCTTAAAGTTCCTCCCTGCTCTTTAGTTTGTCTGCTACAAACCAATTTTTGTGTTTCAAAGTAATTTTTTCCATGAAAATAAATCCATCTTGCCATAAGTGCCTTAGATGTATCTCTACACCACAGCTTCCTTAGAATCTCAAGCCCCTGCTTCTTTCTCCAGACACCCTTTGCCCCCTGCTGCAGCTCAGCACACCATCGTACCTACCCTGATCAAACACTGTAAAACAACTGTTCAACAGAAAGCCCCACCACACGAGTTGACATGATTGGTTCTTTACAGTTGTTACATATGAAATCCTTGAATTCTGAATCTGTATTTTTGAAACTTTCATCGTACACCGCAGTTTCAAGATGGAAATGCTAAGCCATGATGTCGACCGCTGATTTTACTCATAATGTGCCATCAACCATATAAAATACACCATATGGACATGTTAAAGTAAAAATACCTTAGCAGATTTATTGCTATGACAGACAGCGGAGATAATCTCAGAAAGTCACACACTGAAATTAAAAATATGTTATCTCTATGTGTTCACATTTACTCACTCAGAGAAGATGAGGCAATTTTTTACATAAATTGCAACATTCAGCTGCAAGATTAATTATCTGAAACTCCACTTTGTATCTTTGATTTATGTTCCTCCACACCCGTCAACCCTGCTTCTTCCTCCTGGAGAGGTGCGATTCATTGTTTGAAGGTGTCTGGTCTGACTTTACCAGTTTATCAGTGATAAGCTAACGTCACCTGATTATTCAGGCCACTCAGTTTCTTGATTTGGCTCAAATTTTATGTCGAAATGTGTAAATCTCCCCAGTCACATGGCTGTGTTACTGTCACGTTTTAGTGCCTTGCTACCCTCACTTACAGCAAATACTGTGTAGCAACAAGAAAAGTTTAATTCACCTGTTGTAATACTTCTGTTGTAATCTTGTGTTGAACATTCTGACTCAATATCCTGGCTCTGAGTGTTGGACATGGTGTCTTTTCTCTCACAGGCGCTGATGAATGTCAACTGCCGACTGAGGGAGCTCTACCCAGACAGCGAGGAGCTGTTTGACATTGTCTTAATGACTAACAACCATGCCCAAGTTGGAGTGCGCCTCATAAACAGCATTAATCACTACGGTATGCTGCATCCTAAACCAAACACCGTTGATTGTTCAGCAAGGCACTGGCTCACCCGTTACAGCAGCAAACATAATCAAGAACAACACTCAGTCTCATCATTACAGGCTTGTAATGAAGAAGTAGCTCAATTAAAATGGGACTTTTTTTCATGCATCTCCAACTTGCTTTTATTCTTTCAGATTTGACCATTGAGAGATTCTGTATGACGGGAGGGAAAAGTCCCATAGGTTACCTGGAGGCTTACATGACAAATCTTTACCTCTCCAAAGACTCGGAGAAAGTCACAGAGGCCATAGAGGCAGGTAAGCAATGCTGCGGTTACAGGACAATCTCTACAGAATATTTCTATAACACAGGTTTTTTTTTCTTCTTATCATTAGTTTGTATTGAAACTAGGTCACGGTATCGCCTTCTTTCATCAGCCTTGAGATGTTTATGCACTTCTGATATTTACACACTTGACTTTGTGTGTGACTCATTCACACTGTTGAGGGAAACCTCGACCTCATGCTGAGCTGCAAGAATGAGACAGTTGATGACAGTGATTTAGGGTTCCCTTTTATCTAAACAAGCACAAACATATACTGTACAGTGTCACAAATAATTGCTGCCTTTAATTGATCATTGAAAAACTAATTAACAATGAATCTGATAATTGGTTAATTAATCCTTTATTGAGTAAATTTTACTTTCTAGCTTCCTAAATATGAGGAATTGGTGATTTTTCTCCAATTTATGTAATTGTAAACTGAGTTTATTTGAATTTAGGAAGTTTACTATATGAATTGTATTTTCATGTTTTTTTAATGTAATGGTATAAAATTGAATATTTATACAATCTCCAACAAAAGATGAAAAATAACAATACAGATAAGTTGGTAATGAGACCAATCATTACTAGCAGCCCTACTGTTATGTTTGTTGATAAAGTCCACTTTTAACATTTCAAGAATGAGTCTGTGACTGGCCCAAGACCACAGCTGCTTACATGGATGTAATGCACTCTGCATTTCATGGTCTGTATGTAAATAGTAGCCTCAAAAATCTTCCAATCACATGTGTCATCATCCATTAATCAGTCGAAAGAGTGTTCATTGATGCTGCCATTGCAATTGATGATCTACATGTAAAAGTAAGTCACTGGCCTCATGTATACAGTATAGATCAGAAGTGAGTTTACCCCTTATACACCTGACAAATAGAGTATTTATTCTTATTCTTTATTCTTAGCAACCAAAAACAAGTAATCTTGAAATACTATATTAAAAATACAAGCCGCAAAATAGAAACTCAGTGCAATAAAAGTGAATCCAACACTGACATACAAGTTAGACAACTTAGGATCACTGAAACGCAACTGAGAACAACTGTGATTTCTGATCAGTTTAACTGCATGAAGATAGTTGTATATGCCCATCTGCATGTCTGCATCATGGCTCCATGTGGAAAAGAACTTAAAAAGGATGCAGGGAGATTGGTAACCAACTAAAAATTAGATGTTTCAGCTTCCTCCTGAAATATCACCACAAACAGTACACTACTTGCACAATGTAACTGTGAAAAGCAAACCTTGGAGTGATTCAGATTTGGCACAGTGGTTATTGGTGATGATACAGTTGAAGTCTCTAGTGGCATGAGAGGACACTGGCGTTGTTTGTTAGCCGCTTCTCCATCTGAACCTTAAACTGTTTGTTTGTTTTGTTGTTACCTACTTTGTAAAGTGTCTGAGTATCTTGAAAAGCAATATATAAGTATTATGTATGATTATCATGATTGTTATTGCACTTCTGTGACGGCTCAGACTGTATGAAGGACATAGCATGACATCTTGCTTGCTTTTCGACACAAAACTGCAAGATGCAGCTTTGCTAGTGAACACAAAAATACCTCTAATAATTATTGGTAGTACATTGTTTGTTCAGTTGATACCCAGATAGATTTGTTTAGCTGAGATAGGATCCAGTGTGTTTGATATGAACCTGGCTCAGACTACCAGAGTGAATGCAGAACACCTTCGGGGTGACAGAGAAATCATGCAGCGACACACCTTCAGCAAAGAATAACAGCAGGACCTGTCTTAGAAAGCCCTGGTGTATTCCATACCAAGGAGGATATCCAGAATATACATACACATGCCAAGTATTGAGAACATGAAAGATGTGGATCTCAGTAATGAAAGGTGTACTAACTTTGTTCCATTGAGTTTCTACTGTGAGGCCTTTATTTTCATGTTCATTTTTAATTTTACATAAAAGCAAATAGCCTTCTGTTGATATGGAACACTATTGTTGGCTACCAGCCAAAGCCTCCAAATGTATTATAATGAGGTGGCTGATCAGAAGGAGCTTGTCTTGATGGCATGCCTCCTCTTGCTCTATGATTATATTGATATTCAGACTGTAGCTGATTTACAATTTATATTTTTCTGCTTTTCATTCCTATCAAGTGTCACTAATATCAAATATAGTTTTAAAGCCAGAACTGATTACCAAATGTCTTTTAGCCAGGCCGTATCTCTTCATGAAAGACAGAGTTATCAGAGATAAAGTTTCCACTACTCTAATCGCACAAATCTGGAGTTAGGTGGCAGTTTAAATGTCATTAATAAAACAGGTTGTTGAAGATTGCCTGCAGCAGGACTCCATTAATAATGGATCCACAACCCAAACCGTATTTTTAACCAAGCTTTCCCTCCATCAGGAATTGCTGCGGCTACAATGTTTATGCCGGAAACAGAGAATCAGTTGAGCGACACTCAACTGAGAGTGGCCTTTGATGGCGACGCTGTCCTCTTCTCAGACGAGTCAGAGATCATTGTGAAGCAACATGGCCTGGACACTTTCTTTGAGCATGAAAAGCAGTTTGAGAACAAACCTCTTGCTCAGGTAACACCTTTTTTTCTATGTACCTTAACTTCACTTTCACCTCATAGGCAGGAGAATAACCTATAAAATACAAGCGGTAGATTGATGTAGCATCCTGATACTGATCATATTATATAATGTAGTATAGGTCACTCTCTAATTGCTGCTTTCACAAAATTCCTTCAGAATTGTTCTAAATTGTGGGGTTGTTGAGAATTGAGAATGAGATCTGCTAATGTGGTGTTTTATTGTGTCTTTCACCCTCATAAACTTCTTGCTCTGGGCTTAACTGCAGTGACGCCAAATATCTGTCTCAGAAGCTTTCCATCTGTGACAGATTTGCATACAACTGCACCCTAAATAGACTCTTCAGGTTTTACAGCAAATCTGTATGTGTTGATACATGCACATCAGACTCTGGGAAATGACAAATGATACAAATATCTGAAATCAATTGGGATATAACTCGTGTCACTGTGTACCCTTGTATGTGGATGTGCTTACACTGTCTATAACATGCATCTCACTACATACTTACCTAACGGTTTTTAAGTCAGTGAAACATGCTCCACCCAGTGTAGAGATCCATCGTGTGAAAGCACAATTAAAAGAGAGACACTTATGCAGATGAGTGAAAAATGTGATTTGTATTAGAAAACATCTTTTCCTGCTAGTGATGTATTCAGTCCTTTGCTGTGTAGCGGAAGTAGCCTCGCACAGCCGCACCACATGTGTAGAAATGTAGCATAACTACACTTGATGATTACAGTTGCACTCATTTACAATCAAGGGCACCACTGAATACAAAATTCAGAAATAAATTATTTAAACTTCAGATTAAAAATTAATAATTTATCAAATCTATTTGTGTTGATCAGGCTTACAATCAGAAGTCGTAAACTCTGATTTTATTTACTTCCAGTTCCCAAACTAAGAAATACACACTAGACTATACAATGACTATACACTAAACATTTATTAACTAATACTACTAACAATGATGCAACAACAGACAGTGCATACGTGAATGAAGGAATGAATGAATAACAACAAGTAAAGAAACTAATTATCAGTGATCATCACTGGAAGCAGTTGGCAGAGCAGTGGTCAGTTTAGAATCACTTTGGAATTGAAAATCCAATTGTATTTTCCAAATTCACCCGTTTAGCAGAAAGAAAATGCTGGATGAGTTGTTTCAGGATCTCAGAGACAGGAGGGCACCTTTGCATAGTTGCACTGAAAAAGTGAAGAAATTAAAATACTAAGAGTCAAAGCTCATATTTATAAGGAAAATGTTTGTGTCGTTGCATTGTAAAAGTTCACTTAAGAACTTAGGAAGAACAAAGAACCCTTAAAAGAAAGCCAAAGTTACATAACAGAAAAAGCCCAGAATAAGTAGTGAAAAGCCCAGTACACTAGTATAGAAAGCCTGAGTACAACAGAAAAAGCCCAGTTTATGGCTGTGACAGAAACAGAGAAGGAGGTGTTTGGGTCTCGTGTGTGTGCATCTTCCACAAACACTTCCAATGTGAGGTGCTGTCTTCAGTCCTGGTCCTAATCAACCTGATGTCACAACTTGAGTGTGGATGTTGGGCTCATCACTCTGGTGATGTTGGATTTCTTTAATTTGAGGATTTAAAACTGTTCAGTTAATTCCTGTATAGAAAGTTCTCAGTGTTAGGAGGAGAAAAAGGTCAAAAGGCCACAGTGAAGAATGCGATCTCCTCTTCTCCAGAGGTGTGGTTATGCTCACAATTGACACTTAATGACGGTTATCTGGTTGTTGGGCAGGTAGGAGATGTCCTGTTGTCTCCAGGGGCTTTTCTAGAAAAACATTTTTTTGATGTCAACATCTGACTTACATGTTCCATCAGGGTGAAAGTTTTAAGCTAGCTGCCTTCTACCAAATTTACAGCTTTGTGAAAAGGTCTCTGGATACTCTGTGTGTTGCTTTGGAATGTTCTGCTCCTTAATACGCTACAGCTGATTGACATGTGTGACCAAACCCTGTGAATAAGCAGATCCTCATTACAATGTGTTTGCAATCTCTTTGCTCTGTGTAGTGCTAATTTCTTTCTATATTCACATGATCCTTTTAGGGCCCCTTAAAGTGTTTCCTGGAGGCCTTGGGAAAGCTCCAGAGAAAATTTTACGCCAAGAACGAGCGCATGAACTGCCCCATCCGAACCTTTCTGGTCACGGCCCGCAGTGCTGCGAGCTCCGGCGCTCGCGTCCTGAAGACCCTCCGCAGCTGGGGTTTGGAGATCGATGAGGCTCTCTTCCTGGCTGGAGCTCCTAAAGGGCCCCTGCTGCGCCAGATTAAACCCCACATCTTCTTTGATGACCAGATGTTCCACATTGAGGGTGCCAAGGACCTGGGAACCATAGCAGCACATGTCCCTTACGGAATCGGACAGAAATACAACAGGGGGAAACTGATCGAGCAGCCTGCAAAAAAGGAATAGCTGAGTAATGGTTAAAATATGAAATACGCACTACGTCATTACGTGGACAAGAGGAAGTTTGCTCTAAGTTGAAATAATTTAAAAAAAAAAGTTTTCTATTAAAAGCAGCTCTTTTCTTTTCTTTTTTTTATGTTTTGGCAAAACATTTAACAAGGTTAAAGTGTTTTTTGTTGTTGTTTTTATTTTATAAGAGGTATATGTATTGACAATGTATTTTCACACCAACAGTTACACAAGGTGCCGTACACTGTTGCACTTAATACTGTTATGGAGGAGAAATCTGTCGGCACCTTTTATCTGTTCTACCTTATGAAAGGCTTATTGTCTGAGGAATAACACATTTTGTCTATTACATTGAAGTTCATACAATGACTTCATACTTTTATACTGTAACCCTATATTGTATCTTATAATATGGGTTTCTCGCTAAACCAGCAGCTAAAAACCCCGGATAATGAGATAGTCATTTTGATCATTTTGGGTGTTTGGCAATAATCCTGCACATATAATGGGAGACATTTATATTTTAAAAGGGACTAGGGGTAGATATGCCGTGGCTTCTAAGGAACACTGATGCTGTCTCGCTGTCAATGCGCACCAATGACAATCTTTCCTCAAACTTTTATACTCATGTTCTGTGGATTGTTTACGCTTTTACGCTGTATCTGCATAGCAGGCAGCACACTGTAACTACACTTTTCATGTTGCACATACTACATGTATGTCGTTTGCAGATAGCATTTTATGTATTTAGGCATCATTGAGGAGTTACTGCACTAGTTTGTAAATGCTGGCAATATTTTTCTATATTTCGCATTGTTTGTATTCATGGTGACAACAGTGACATCATTTTTGCACCGTTTAACTTTTCTGTCCAGGAGTGTACAAGTGTACTCAACACAGGATGTAGATGGATAAATAAAGCAAAGTACACTGGAACCCCAGCTGCTGGTGTTTGTCAGTGGTGGAAAATAACCAACTGCATCTACTAAAGGCACTGCACATAATACTCAAAATATTTTCAGGCATTTGTGCTTGTGGCTCTACTTCCAGTTCATTTAATTTCAGCGAGAAATGCTGCACTTTTCTATCTGTTATATGTACTTGACAGTAGAATTTACTTAAAAAACAAACACAAAAACAACAACAACAACAAAAAAAGCATTGAGCAGCTAAAGTAAAACACATTGCTGTTCCAAACATTTTGGCTCATAACCACCACCTGGCTGTAACCCCTTATCATTTTTCAGAATATAAATTAGAATAAATAAAATAAAATTAACTGCTAAACTGTCTTAAAACTCGCTCCACTTCAGTCATGTTAAAAGCTACATGGACACTGAGCCATCTGTATTGCAGTGTATAGTCATGTTTGGTATTTCAGCCAAACAAGTTCTTTTTTTTTCTGCTACAGTGACACATTTTGCTGATTATTAATCTATACTTTAAATTAGTGGGATTTTGATTGCATAACTTTCACTTTCCAATATATATATATTTTTTTACATTGCTCTACATGACAATCTGAGGTCTTTTTTTCTCCACAAGTCTTTATATATCTCAGCAGTAGATGGCGCTATTAAGGCATAACTTAACTCCACTGTGATCTGAACAGTTCTGATGGCCCCAAATCCTTGTGTTGCGCAAAGAGAAGCTTCCTGGTGAAAATAATGGAGGGGAAGAGGCCGCTGCATATTGTTGAACATATCAGTGCTATCAACATGTTCCTCAGTGCGTGTTTAGCATTTGCAGATGGAGCCAGGCTCTTATCTTACATGTACATGATGAAACATGCCTCAAGGTGGCACTCCTGCTTAACTAGATTGGGATTTATCAGAGGCAGGAAAGCCAGGATATGGTGTACAGAACAAACATGGGAGGTCGCTCAACATATATCAACATGTTAAAGACTCACTAAAAGGTATTGTCCTTCCACCTCCACCAGCACCATTAACACGAATGTTGAAAAATCTACCATGCTTTGGAGAAGATTTCCTCTTTTGTTAAAACTGAGTTCCTTCTCGACCTATATTTACTGCTACCAAAATATCACAGCAAGCTCAGCAAGAACTGTTCAAAATGTAAATCACTCTGTTCTCACTGAGCATTAGGCTGAATTGGAAGTTTAAGAGCCATCCTACAGTTCCAAATATAGCAGACTGTATGTTTCTTAGACAAAAAAAACAAACATCAAATGTGCAGTAGATATAAAGAGGACTTTACCTGCTGAAAATTGCTGAACTTAGGCCACAAAATTAATTTGATATACTGTACAGGTGCAATTAATTTTTAAATTAGTCTTCTACAATTACAGAAAAATGCCAGGGGAAAAGATAAAGTTCTATAACAGCCACAACGCCTCCAGATGGTGAGAGTTTTGCAAGCAAATGAACATTAAGATCACAGTACAGGCAACGTGAAGAAACACAAAACACATTTAACATCAATGCACTTGATGAGAAGCTTTGATGAAAATTGGTGAATTTGCTCATTGTGTGAAATTAAAATACTCTAAAAACGGTCCTTTTGTTACAGGTACTGCACTGATACTTAAAAGAGTTCCTCATAGTTGTAGCATTGCACTCTCATGGTATTAAAAACGTTTTAAACATTCCCTTTTCTCTTCAGAACTTGAGTTGCTTGCCCAAAGCAGAGATGAGGAACGGGCTACAGATATGTGGAAAAATCACTTCTTTCTAGATCTGCACCATCAAGTTTTTTATATTTTTAAACTTGTAAGTCTTTAGCCCCAAACAACGCTGACTCAGGTGACTTCACTTGGGGTAAGTTATCAGACTTCCTCTGGAGCCCCATAAAGCCTTTTCTGACATGTTCCACTGTTTCCTAAGACCTGCAAACAGACTTATAAAACTATAAAAAAAATCGGTAGGTGGAGTTTCCGCTTAAGTAGAAGATATTAGCATTACAGAAAATACACAAGATTGTTTAGATATTACATGAATGGATCAATGTAGAGTAACAATTAATGTCGTATCAGGTTAAGGTGGGGAAAAAATGCAACATTATATGTTATTTCGTCTATAAAATCTATAAAAATGTGTTATATTTCAAAACATCATTATTTTGTATGTCAAAATATAATGTATGTTCAAAGTAGCTATAGCTGTCATAAATATTTCAGAAGTGTAATATGCCCCTATGTAGTGAAGTAGAAGGTGCAGAAACTATAAGCACTCAGGTAAAATTCTACAAATTGATACCTAAGTACAAAATGTACTCGATCAAATTACACCTCAGCACACTGCTTTTCTTTCTTCATCCTTAGCAACAGGCATCTTTAACCATTTGGTCACTGATTGCTGGGAGTTTTGTTCTTGGCTCAAAAACTAGGAGACGACGCTCAAGGGGGACAGGAATTATTTATAATTTTCTTATATTTTCCACAGTTGAGTTATTAATCTTGTCAATGGAGCATCTTTGCAGCGAGCCACGGTTTTGTCAGGCAGCAGTGCATGTGTGCATCCCTGTGAGCTGGGACCAACTGGCTGTTGCCATGGATACTTGGTGCTGACACCACAAGAACTGTGTAGGCTTGTAAGATATAATTAATAACAAAGGATTAGAGGCAAAGGTAGCATGGGGCTCAGTATGAGAAACCTCGTCACACAGTTACTATAATTGGCAGCCTTTCTAAGTGTGTGTGTGTGTACACGCGCGTGTGTGGATGGCACAAGAAAAGTTACTGAAAAGATAACCGTGGAAACAGCATTCTCATTCTCTGCTGCTGCATTTATCTTCTTGACAAGCAATTTGCTCTAAATATGTTTTCTTGGTTGGTGTTTCACAGTGATCTCTCAGGGTAATTTATTTAGACCAGCATTTCCTTGGCAGTGCCTTGCTGCCTATAGTGGTTATGTTGAGAACATTTATTAAGCATAATTTGATAATTGATATTTATTTTAAAAAGTCTATGTTTGACATGGACGTATTGTTTACATGGAGCGCAAGCTCAGATTCAGTTGTTTTTAGCCGCGCTAGTGATGACACAGTCAGTCAGTCACTGCTGGAAATTGAAAACAAAAAAAATCTAAAGTTTACAAAAGCAAATAAAATATGCCAATTTGAAAGTCCATGTTTTATTTTTTGTTTGTTTGTTTGTTTTTTTTATATTGTTGGCAGTTTTTTTTTATTGCACTTTGCAGAAACCACAGACATCCCTGATGATTTTCCTTTTTAGCAATCAACTTCTTGTCAAACATTTAATGTCAATATACACTCACTGGCC